CGTGTTGACCAGGATGGTCTCGATCTCTTGACCTCGTGATCCACCCGCCTCGGCCTCCCAAAGTGCTGGGATTATAGGCTTGAGCCACCGTGCCCGGCCTTAATTTTTATATTTTTAGTAGAGACATGGTTTCACCGTGTTGGCCAGGCTGGTCTCAGACTCCTGACCTCAGGTGATCCACCTGCCTTAGCCTCCCAAAGTCAGGATTACAGGCGTGAGCCACTGCGCCCGGCTGCTTGTGTCTGAGATGGAAGAATGAAGGAATACATACTCTATTTCCTTCAGTAAGGCATATGAACCTACAGAAGATACACAGAATGAAATAATGAAAAAAACGGAAAACTCAAATCATGTTCTGAGAAAATGCAGATTAGATGGCCAAAAACAAAAAGACAAATATTAATCTACATACAAAAGTACAGGAATGGAATATTTATTGTGAAAAAGTAAAGCTAAAATATATAAGAGAGAGGCTTGTTAGCTGTATGACTGAAGAGTAAACAGAGATCCAAAATCCCAAACCCTCCAGCAAGAATTTTGGTCTTAGTGGACCAGCAGGGATTGTGTTGCAACCAACTTAGATGACTGAGTGAGGCCGTGTGCGGTGGCTCATGCCTGTAATCCCAGCATTTTGGGAGGCCGAGGCGGGCAGATCACGAGGTCAGGAGTTCAAGACCAGTCTGGCCAACATAGTGAAATCCCATCTCTATTAAAAATACAAAACATTAGCTGGGTGTAGTGGTGTGCACCTGTAATCCCAGCTACTCGGGAGGCTGAGGCAGGAGAATCGTGTGAAGCTAGGAGGTGGTGGTTGCAGTGAGCCAAGATAGTGCCATTGCACTCCAGCCTGGGCAACAAGAGCGAAACTCCATCTCAAAAAAAAAAAAAAAAAAAAAAAACAAATAAAAAAAAAAAAAAAAAAAAAAAAAAAAAGTTACCATTACCCAAATACTCCCAAATACTATGTTAGCAGTATGATATAGATTTATTATTACCAATATGCTATTGGTATAAGCAACGTTGTTAAAGTATTCAAATTATGCCGTTGTTGTGCCACAGGAATGTATTTCCGAATTTCTTAAGGCAGCATGCAAAGAATGGGGCTCTAGGACCACAATTTTCCAAAAAAATTGGCCCAAGTGTTTCTCCATATTCATTAATTCCCTTCTTTTCTCCCCTCATTTGATTCTGTGTTTGGCAGTGGTCCATGATAGTGCCCGACTGAGGCTAAGTTTTTGGTTCTTTCTTTCCTTTTTTTTTTTTTTGGGTTGGGTTTTTCTCTTGTTCCCTAGGCTGGAGTGCAATGGCCGGATCTCGGCTCACTGCAACTTCCGCCTCCTAGTTTCAAGTGATTCTCCAGCCTCAGCCTCCCAAGTAGCTAGGATTACAGGTACCCGCCACCATGCCCAGCTAATTTTTGTATTTTTAATAGAGACTGGGTTTCACCATGTTGGCCAGGCTGGTCTTGAACTCCTGACATCAGGTGATTAGCCGGCCTTGGCTTTCCAAAGTGCTGGGATTACAGGCGTGAGGTACCACACCTGGCCCCCCCCTTTTTTTTTTCTTTTTGAGACAGAATCTTGCTCTTTTACCCAGTGTGAAGTGCAGTGGTGCAATCATGGCTCACTGCAGCCTCGACCTTCCTGGGGATCAAGTGATCCTCCCACCTCAACCTTCTGAGTAGCGGGGACCACAGGTGTGCACCACTATGCCTGGCTAATATTTTAAAATATTTTTGTAGAGATGGAATCTCCATATGTTGCTCATGCTGGTCTCAAGTGATCCTCCCACCTTGGCCTCCCAAAGTGCTGGGATTACAGGCATGAGCCATTGTGCCCAGCCTGGTTCTTGCTTTTTATTTTTAGGGGAGACTTTGGAGAAGCATGACTTTCTGGAATAACAATAGCTAGAGTTTTTTTAGGGCTTGTCAGTATATTAGATACGCTCTTCTAGACATGCCCTTCAAGGTTTAATATGTGTTAATTCCTTTATTCTTTTGACAATCCTGTGGGATAGGTACTATTATTATCCCCATTTTACAGATGAGGAGACTGCGGATCAGGGAGGTTAGGTAACTTGTCTTAAGGTCACTCAGCTGACAAGCAGCATGATCAGGCTCTTTTTTTTTGTGATGGAGTCTCACTCTGTTGCCCAGGGTGGAGTGCAGGGGCGCGATCTCGGCTCACTGCAGCCTCTGCCTCCTGGGTTGAAGCAATTCTCCTGCTTCAGCCTCCCGAGTAGCTGGGACTGCAAGTACCTGCCACCATGCCCAGCTAATTTTTGTATTTTTAGTAGAAATGGGGTTTCACCATGATGGCCAGGCTGGTCTCAAACTCTTAACCTCAAGTGATGCACCTGCTTTGGCCTCCCAAAGTGCAGGAATTACAGGCATGAGCCACTGCGCACAGCCTTTGGGCTTTTAACCCCTATACTATATTGTCTCACACAGGCAGCGTGGAATGATTTTCATCCCTCTTCAGAAAATGCTGCTTCTTAGGGTAGGAGAACAGTTTCTGTGTATATGTGTATTTATTCAGATATGTGAGACTGGTTATATAGCTCCTGTTAGTGATACGTATTCAAGGTATTTAGCCATTCAGAATCAAGTCCCATTTCTTATATCAGATACATTTAATGTATCTATCATAGTTGCTATTAATGTGTTGGAGGTGTGACTTTTTTTTTTTTTTTTTTTTTTTTGCTCTTTCAGCTAATGGTAGCAATAGAAAGGATAAGCTTTTTCCAGTGTGTTCTTTAAAACCAGCTATACTCAGTTGTAGAATGCTAGTTTCTTTTTTTTAGATGGAGTCTCACTCTGTTGCCCAGGCTCGAGTGCAATGGTGCCATTTTGGCTCACTGCAACCTCCGCCTCCTGGGTTCAAGTGATTCTCCTGCCTCAGCCTCCCAAGTAGCTGAGACTACAGGTGTGCACCACAATGCCTGGCTAATTTTTGTATTTTTAGT